GTTTTCTGCTTGTTGCTTTCTGCCTTTTGCTCCTGGCTTTCTGCTTCTGCTTCTTGCTGTGTGTTTTTGTTTTGCTTTCTGCTTTTTGATTTTCGCTTCTGGCTTTTGCCTTCGCTTTTGTTTTCTGCCTGTTGCTTTTCAGCTGTTGCTTCTTGTTTCTTGCTTTTTGCTTTGTCTTTCCTGCTGCCCTGGCAGGTGTCCCCCACCAGGATCTACTACGCGTATACAAGGATTAGAGGAGGACACTAGTATTGTTTATACTTCGGTCATGCTTCATTATTTTCCATCATATTATATCATTATTCATCATCTCGCCATCATAATTGTATTAGTTGTTCACCATTGCATGCTGTTTATTTACGTCCTTTTGTCCATGATTGTTGTCTGCAAATGGAGGGGCTCCCCAACCCCGACCCCCCTACGTTTTTGAGAGCCATCTATGTTTACGGCAAGAAAATCATGTCACCAACATGTTTGCAGTGGGGTAATGTTGAGCGGATAATTTTGTTTGCAGAGGGAGGGTCGCGCCCCCCCCAACCCCCTGCTGTTTTCAAGCCATCCGTCTTTACTGTAAACAAAATCAGGTCATCATCACGTGTGCAGCAGCGGAAGGCTGCGCGGATCTTTTTGCTTGCAAATGACTGCGCCCCCCCCTCCCCTCCCCCAAAAAAATCCCACCTTTTTACAGCCATGCATGTTCCCGAAAAAACTCGATTAGAATCGTGTCAGTCGTGTTTGCAGCAAAGGAGGGTGGTGCAGATCACTATGTTTGTGAAAGGGGAGTTGAAAATGCTGCAATTCGTACATCGGCAAGCTCTTGAAAAATCAGAGCTGCCATGCTGCAATTCACAGCGCCTGCAAGCTCTAAAGCCTCAGACTGTATAATTTGCAGTCTTTGCGCGCTCTAAAGGAATCCACATGCTGGAATTGACGAGCTCCCAACGCTGTAATGTAAAGTATCTGCCAGCTCTACATGAGCTCCAAATGCTGTGATTTACAATATCTGCAGCCTTCAGAAAAATCAGTGCTGTAATTGACAGCACCTGCAAGCACTAAAGAGATTTGCAGTATCCGCAAGCTTGAAAACACGCTCCAAATGCTGTAACTCACAGTATCTGCAAGCTCTGGATGAGGTCCCACTTCTGTAAGTCTAGATGAGCTCCAAATCCTGTAGTTTTCAACATGTGCAGCCTCCACGCGGCAATTTGTATTATCTGCAGCCTCTACGCGACCCAAAATGCTGCAATTTGTAGTATCTGCAGCCTCTGCGCAACCTAAAAAGCTGCGATTTGCAGCATGAGCTCGGGCTGAGGCTTTCTGAAAAAATAAAAAAAACAAGTACACAATTTCACACATGTCAAATAATTTTGCGTCCGATGCTTTGTTGCGCACGAACAGGGTGTTTGAGCGTCTAAGGCAATTCTCCGTTGTCTTCTTCCAATCTGGAGTTTTTAGGTGATGGGAGCATACAAGGATTCTACGTGAAAGATAGGGTCTTGTTCTAGTTTCCTCATTTTTTTAGCGGCAGTTTCTCAAGCAATCCACGTGTGGAGTTGCGTGTTTGCTATGCGAGTATTTTCCGAGGCACGTCATAATGAGGGGTTTTGGTGCTTAAAGACGGTCAGGGTGAAGCGAACTTGAGAGTCACAGCAAACTGTGCGTTTTCAGAAACCTCTTTGAGTGAATTCCTAAATCACATTTTATGGTGGCATCATGGACTATAGAAACTGCGATGGAGGCTGAAAGCTGCCTCCTTACGTTTACCCCAGAAAGTAACCTCTCTGCCCAGGCCTGCACGAAGCTAGCAGTGATCTCACTGTGCGGGCCTACCTAGGCGGGCGGGCGTCGCGACTTTAGCTGCTTGAGAGATGCGGTAGATGCTGAAAGTTGTAGAACCTACTAAGCTACTGTCAAAGGTTACGAACAGAGCTTCCGTAGGGTTCCTCTTTTGAAAAGGTAGGCAAGGCATTGGTTCTCTCGCAATATGTTGGTAGTGTTAGGAAAGATGCATTGCGGGCATGGTGTCCAGCTGGTCGAGACCTTTGAACGGTTGCTGCGATCAAACTTGACATGAGCACGGCCGGACAGGCATGGCGCTGGGCATGGAGTCCTGAAATTCAGCCGGTCAGCGCGTGCTTCTCCCTCTGCGTTGGCGTTGTAAATGTCATTCAGAATGTGATCCTAGCTGCGGAATCATCAACCCGGCTAGGGCAAGCGACCAAAGTAGACTTCTGCACCCGGTTAGTGAGCGAACATCGCTTGCAGGTTGGAGTGCTGGACTGTGTAAAGTGTCCTGCTGCGCAGTCGTGCACCTTGCAAGTTGTTGGCAGGGCAGCATGCAAGCCGGGTTTCAACTCTCGCTCATGGATGATCATGGCTGTTTTGGTTCGCCTGCAGTGGAGGGGTAGCAGCGCCCTGTGCGCTGACGAGGGGCCCCAAGCTCGTTTGGTACCCAGATCATTTCGCTCAGACACCGGTCTTGGCACTAAGTGGCACTGTGGTTTTAGTTCCAGCCCGTTTGAGGCTGCAGCAGCGATGCGCATAGCAGCTTGACCTTCGCAGCGGGGGCTGCCTCCCGTATTCAGCTGCAATGCACCCCGTCTGACTGCAAATATGGTTTGCTGCACCTCCCGTGTCTGAACTGCCGAGGAAGCTTATGTTTCTTTACCTACTCGCGCTGGTGCCGGCGCTGGCACTGAAGAGCAGGCTGAGGAAAGGTGTGCAGGGGCAGTGCGCCTCTCCACGTCATGCCGTCGATGAAGGCTATGTTGTGCAACTTGACGATTCCTCGGGTCGTGCTTGAAAGTTGGACGTGCAAGCTCGTAGACAGTGCTGTGTGTTCTGCGATTTCTGCTGATTCAGGTACGAAGGCTCCACTTCCATGGAGTCTTTCAATGTCAAGGCTGCCTGTGCAAAGCAATACAAGGGCACAGCTGTCGTGTCCCCGTGCTCAACTGCTGGCACGCCTTACTCTCTTAGCGGGTGCTCCCCTGAACGATGCAGAGATCCAATTGGGGCAGACATAAAAGGATACATGCTTGTCCCATTCTCCCTGGAGCGACCAAGTTTCAGCGTGACCGTGAGATGCAGCAGCGGCGTTGGCTTTGGCAAGGCCACGTCGTGCATCAAAGATGGTGAGCCATATACTGTAGAGGGTTGCGCACTTGGGGAGTGCACATCTCCGGCTGCCAACCCTGCCTTGGACGGCTACGTTGTGTGCACTGCCTGCATTTTATGTTACTCCAGGAGCTCCACAAGAGATAGATAGAGAGGGCGTGAGCAAAGCAAAGGAATCAGTTTGAATCTTACTTGGACCATCGTGTTTTTTTTTTGGGTTTGTGCTTCAGTATGGCATGTATCGGTTCTTCCTGTGGTGTGTAGGCTGGGGTTCAGCCCATCTTGCAACTCCTTTGCTAGGAAACATTGTAGTTGCATTGTGGCTTGGTACTTATGGGCTTGTAGAAGTTCCGGCTGACGCTTTGAAGTCTCCTGCTTCACGAAGCCACCGACTTTGAAGCAGGTGGACTGGGGACGTGTTGCATCCCCAAGCAAGCAAGCAGGCAGGCAGGCAAGCAAGCAAGACAGTAGAGAGAAGGAGAGAGCTAAAGAGACGATAGAAGGAGCAGAAGAAGAAGGAGCGAAAGTGCGATAAGATTCTGTAATGGACCTTGCGTGGCTCGCATCCCCAGCATCACGGTTCATTTGAATCCAAGGTACGAGGGCTCCAGGGCGGCGCACAGCTTCAACGTGAGCGCGAAATGTGCCTTTGGCTACAAAGGTGTTGCTGCTGTCTCGGTATGCCAGACACCTGGGATGCCATACTCTCTGACTGGTTGTGCTCCAGAGCACTGCACGGCGCCGAGCGCAGCAGATGCCAAGGGTTACGAGCTCACAGCCTTCTCCTTGGAACGGCCCAGCTTCAGCGTCTCTGTAAAGTGTAACAGCGGCGTTGGGCATGGAAGGGCCAAGGCATGTGCAAAAGACGGTGAGCCCTTTACGCTTGAAGGCTGCTTTATTGGCCAGTGTGATTCGCCAGTTGGCGATTCAGCGCAGGGTTATGTTGTGAGCCTTGCTTGCATATGATGCAGTTTTTCCAGATGTTTGAAGTCGTTGATTTTGCATCCGTTTGGGGCAATGGTTTCCCAGCTACTAGCAGGATGTAGGGGCGAGCTCCGAGCTAGAAGGTGGCGGAGTAGTTGGGTACAGGCGTTTGCTCAGAAGCCGTAGAAAAAGCAGCTGAGGTATGAGGGTTCGAAGATGTCACACAGCTTTCACGTCACAGCAGAGTGCGCAAAAGGCTACATGGGAACAGCCGCCGTGTCCAAGTGCCAGGATGCAGGCAGTCCGTATTCCCTGAGCGGCTGCAAACCTGAAGTTTGCGCTGAGCCCAATTCAAAAGAGACAGAAGGTTATGAGCTTACGGTTTTCTCCCTGGAGCGAGCTCGCTTTAGCGTCTCCGTGAAGTGCAAAAGTGGCATCGGGTTTGGAAAGGCAAAAGAGTGTACCAGGCATGGAGAGGCCTACACGGTTGAGGGCTGCTTCACTGGCGAGTGCACTTCGCCGGCCAATCTCGCTGAGCACGGCTACGTTGTGTGACTTGTATGCCGTTTATGTTGTTCATAAGGCATGGAGTGGAGCGTGTCATAGGCAAGTGCCGGGCATCAATCTGAGGTACGAAGGTTCCAAGATGCCTCACACCTTCGACGTCAGGGCAAAGTGTGCCACTGGCTACAAGGGCACACCGACGGTCACTCAGTGCGAGGGAACCCAGCAGCCCTACTCGCTGAGCGGGTGCAGCCCCGAGACTTGCATCGAGCCAAGCGTCTTTGAGCAGGCCAATTACGACGTCAAGATCCACTCCTTGTCTCGACCATTCTTCCGTGTTACAGCCAGTTGCAGGCATGGCTTCGGAACCGCCAAAGTGAAGGAGTGCACGAAAGATGGCTATCCGTTTGAGATGGAGGGTTGCGTGGACGCTTGCTCCTCCCCCAAGAGGGCTGCAGAAGATGGCTACATCGTGCCACTGGGCTTGTGTTAACGGGTTACAGCTAGTTCAGCAGCCCCTTCAGTCAGAAGCAGAAGTAGAGCCTCCTCTGATGGAAACATCAAGGTTTGAAGAAAAGATGGTGATGCACGGGTTCACGGTGCATGCACGCTGTGCAGATGGGTACAAGGGCGCTGCGGCAGTAGCAAAGTGTGGCAAAGCAAATGAGCCCTACACGTTGAGTGGCTGCTCGCCGGTGAGATGTGTTGAGCCGAGCGATACCGACAGGGCTGCCTACGACTTGACCGTCTTTTCTGCCGAGACACCTTCTTTCAGTGTTCTGGCAAAGTGCAAAAGCGGAGTTGGCGCTGCCAAGGCTAGCGCCTGTTCTGAAGACGGACAGCCGTATGTGTTGGAGGGTTGCCCATCCCTGTGCACATCTCCAAAGAAGACTACAGAGGATGGCTACGTTGTGCTTCTCGTTTGCTTTTGCAAGCTGTGCCTTAAGTACTAAGCTTGTAGCCTGCGTTTTGTTTCCGCTTACTCGTGTCGGCGCTTTTGTTCCCTTCTTTCAAGGATCGAGAAGTCGTTGTTGATGGGCGAGTTCGAGGCGCACGCCGTGTGTGCAAATGGATACACGGGCACTGCGGCCGTGTCCAAGTGTACCGCACCAAATGAGCCCTACACTTTGAGCGGCTGTGAGCCGCTGAAGTGTGCAGAGCCGAGTAACGCTGCTGCCTATGACCTGACCGTCTTCTCAGCAGAAGTACCATCATTTAGCATTCTGGCAAAGTGCAGACATGGCGAAGGAACTGGCAAGGCAAAGGCATGTTCCAAAGAAGGACAACCATTTGTCTTAGAGGGTTGCCCCTCCCTTTGCACGTCTCCGAAGAGGACTTCTGAGGACGGCTACATCGTGTGCCGTGTCATTGCTAGTAGAGTTTTTTGTCTCCAGTGATTTGTCTCCAGTGAAAAATGAAGCTGCCTGAGATTTTGCTGGAGAGACACAAGACGTGATGCGCGTCTTCATCTGTGTTTAGCTGTTTAGCTGCTGAGGTTTGAGAAGTCCTTACTGTTTGACGACTTTCGAACAGAGGCCGTTTGTGCGGACGGATACGCTGGCAAAGCATTTGTTCGCAAGTGCAGCGGGGTGAGCCTGCCATATGTACTAAGTGGCTGTGCGCCTCAGAAGTGCATAGAGCCGACTGGCGCAGAAAAGTTCAACTACAACATCGTGGTCCACGACCTTTACCGGCCGTCCTTTCGTGTCACGGCAACTTGCCGAAACAGGCCAGGCACCGGAAAGGCTCTTCCATGTCGTGGAGACAATCTTCCCTACGAGCTGGAAGGATGTGACTAAGACGGCTGGTTTCGCCTTATTTCTGTGCTCCTGCTCTGCAAGCTTGGAAAAAGCAGCTGGTTGGCTGTTGCCGCATGTAACGCGCGTAAGCTGCAAGCAGTCAGATTGAAAGGCGGAGCTAATGCCATGAAAAGCCGTCTCCCCGAAGCATCCCGTTGTGCCCATTGCCTTTCGACATAAAGTCAGCCCTGATTTACTTGGATGCTTGGGAGTGTTGTGAGATGATGTGGTACTCATGGCTACATGTAAAAGTGTAGCGCTTTGTCACAGACCCGCAAAGTAATTGAGGTTTTTTTCCAGGGGGCCAGCCCAACATAGCCCAACATAAGCAAAGTCGCGGCCGTTCGACAGGCTCAGCTAGAATGCGGACGGTGAAGCAATATGAGAACACACAAAGTCAAGGCACGCTAGCACTTCCAGTTAGACAAAAAGCTAACCTGTAGAATCGCATCTTCAACTGCTGTATGTGTAGAGCTTTCCACCTTAAAGATGGTTAGTGGCTTCAACGCGTTGGGACACTTCGAACCCTGAAGGATAAGTTGTAGAAATGCAGCTCAGCCAGCTAGCGCCGAGCATAATGCGGCTTGCGATGCAGCTCAAACCCCAGCAAGCAATAATGCAAGCCACTGTGTTGGCAGCATGTCTGCCTCTTTGTTGGGATCTGAGGCTCTACACAAGGTAGAGATGAGCTCGTCGGGTGCGGATGCCGGCGCTGGTCGTTGGCCAAGAACTGACGAGACATTACAGATGCAAAGCAGGGCCGTTGTGTGTCAGGCGTCCCCGCGACGGCAACAGCAGCGCCAGCAGCGGCGGCAGTTCCTGCTCCTCCACATGAGGCGTGCGCTCGCAATTCAGTTCACGCGGCTGTTGAGCAGCATGTAAAGATGTCGCCGATGAGTGCATCATGGCTGAGGCGCAGACCGTCGCCACAGCATCAGCACCTCAGCCTGCGGCCAAATCTGCTTCGGGAGATGTAGCCCACATACAGTCCTTCGAAGTCCTTTGGAAGGTCGCTGCCGGCTTTGCCAGAAGAGGCTGAAGCAGGCGACGGACGAAGAGAGGAGCAGAAGGGAAGCTGATAGCTGAGGTTGAGAGGTCCTGGAAACTTGAGCGGTTTGATTCAGCACAGTATTTTTGGAGAATGACGAGGCTAGTGAACGAAAACATGGTTTTTGCAGTCAGGAGTCCGATCTTCTTCAGTACTCGCAGACCTTGGGTCAGGAGCTCGGCCAACTCATATCTCTTCTGCTCCGGCTCTGGTTTCTAAGGCATCGACCTCACTCAGCACTCAGATTTGCTCTGGGTAGTCCAGGAGGCCTTCACACGATTTTGCAGAACCATAAGCACATGGGCTGATACGGGCAGTTTTCAGGCTTTCAACGCACCGCTGCCGCTCAGCTGGACCGAGTACACAGATGATGAGGGCCGAGTGTACTTCTTCAACCAGGCCCGAAGAGGTAACGGGCTTCCTTTGAGGGAGTGCTGCTTCTGAGACCTTCTGCCCTGGCAGTCCTCGAGCTCGTCCACTTGGGAGCATCCTATGGACGCCGTGTACCGGGAATTGCTCAGTGCGGTTCCAAGGTTGCACGGCCTTGCAAGCTCTTCTTCAGGGAAACGACACAGCAAGCCATGACAGCTGCAGCTGATGGTTGATGATGGTTGTACTTGAAACACAACCTTGCGCATCTGCTTGCTGTACATGAAAGCCGGTTGTGCGTCTGACGAGGAATCCACCGGGTTTGCAGCTCACAGCCTGAATAGTTGAATAGTGTTTGGTAGCTTGCCCGATCTGGACGCTATGGGTTCAGCGGCTTCTTCCAGCTTGAAGTCCGCCGCGGCGAGCGCGACGGACTCTTGCTTGTCAATCTGTCATCTACTTGCTGTGCTAGCATCAGAAAGTTTCTTCTGTGCAAAGGACCAAGAATTGGCAGCTGCCCTATCGCAGCTGGACAAGGCAGATCTGCAAAAGCTGAAGTCCGCAGTATCTGGCGGACAGCGTGTAGTTGTTGAACCTTGGCCTGCATTGAAAAAGGTGGAGCAGGGAGCAAGTCTCTGAACCGCCTAGCTGAACAGGGTTCACATCAGGTCGGTTGGGGCCCAGTTGGTCACGCCGTTGTTGCGAAGCTCCTCGCCAAGAGCCCGGGAGCTTTGCAGCTGGTGGTCATCAGCGAGGAGAATTACCCCGCGTACAACCGCGTAAAGTTGACCACTTTCTTCGAGCACCGGGACCCCAACCAGCTGGCGCTCAGCAGTGCAGCGCTCGGCAAAATGGCTTCTTGAAAGCTGCATCTTCTTGTACTTTCTGAGACTCTGAGGTGTGGAGTGGTGCCAGTCGAACGGTGTAGAGCTCCTGCTGGGCAAGGCGACGAAGATCGATCGCGCGGCCAAGTCAGTTGAGTACACGACTTCCAAAGGCGGGCTGTACCATGATGCGTGAAAAGATTCACGGGCCTTGATTCCAGGTGAAGTCAAAAGTACCCTCTACGACCATTTGGTGCTGGCCACTGGCAGCAAGCCATGGCTTCCTCCTGTGCCGGGCCTTTCCCTAGACGCGACTGGACTGCAGATACTTGTAATGACAAGCCACGCTGGTGTCGCTCGATTGTGGAGGTTCCTGGCGTTCACGTTTACAGAACGATAGACGACCTCTTCCAGGCGGATGCGTTCGCTCAACGTGTGACTTCTTGGATAGGATTTTTGCCCTTCAGGTCACGGAGAGGGCAAAGAATGCCAAGGCTGCGGCAGTGATTGGCGGAGGTCTGCTGGGCCTCGAAGCCGCCAAGGCAAAATTTGAAGAGAGCTTAGTGGAGAGTTAAGGAATTCATCAAGTTTTCTCCAGGCGGCGTATGACCTGAAACTGGAGACCTACGTGCTGGAAGTGGCACCTGGACTGATGCCTGTGCAACTCGATGCTGAGGCTGGTGGTATGCTGAAGGGCAAGATCGAGTCCCTGGGCATCAAGGTTCACACAGGCGTGAAGGTGCTGGAGGTGCTGAAGGGTGAGAGTGGCCTTGCTGGAGTGAGAATCGAGGTGGGTGGCCAGGAGCAGACCCTGGATGTCCAGCTGTTGATTGTGGGTGCGGGCGTGCGGCCCCGCCAGGAGCTTGCAGAGGCCAGTGGGCTGGAGCTTGGAAGCCGTGGTGGTGTGAAGACAGACCACACCATGAGGAGTGTCACGGATGAGCATGTATGGGCAGTTGGTGAGATTGCCTCCTACAACGGGGGCATGTGCTACCAGTTATCTGCTCCAGGCTACACTCAGGCGGAGGTCCTATCCGACCACTTGACCAACCCTAGCGCTGATTCCAAGTTCATGGATGCGGACTTATCGACAAAGCTTAAGCTGCTGGGGGTGGACGTGGCATCCTTTGGCGGTTCCTCGGACTTCTGGTTCAAGCGCCAGTACACGTCAACGGATCCTGAGCAGGTGAAGACAGCTGTTGCCAAAGACGAGGCCAAGGGCACCTACAAGAAATTGGTTTTCACTGCAGACGGCACCAAGCTTCTGGGTGGGATACTTGTGGGTGACATCTCTGAGTTTGCGGCCCTTACGGCTGTGTCCAAGCGTTCAGACATCGGCGGCCTGACGCCCGAGGACCTCATGGCCGGGAAGATGCCCAAGGTCGATGATGGCGGCGATGGGACCAACCTTGGAGATGATGACCTCGTGTGCAACTGCCACTCTGTGCCCAAGAAGGTGATTCGGGATGCGATCAAGGGTGGGGCGCACACCTTCGAGGAGCCCCGGTTTGCAAGGTAGTGGCCGTTTTTGTTCTGGTTTGTTTTGAGGACATCAAGAAGTGCACCAAAGCTGGGACTGGATGCGGCACTTGCATCCGAACAGGGCCACAGCCGAAGCTGCTGTCGCACACGCTGAACTCCATCGGTGCCTTGGCCCTTGAGACACTCTCAGCCAGTAGCTTTCCTCCTGGCAATTTCGATGCAGCTTGCAGGTGTGGAGAAGGGCTGCTGCAAAAGCCTTCCCTTCGAGGCCGATGACATCGAGGACTTGGCGAAGGCACAGCCCATGGCCAAGATAGGAATTTTGATCTGTTTTGCAGGAAAACTAAAGTACATCGACCCACACCACATGTTCTTTGGACAACTTTCGGGAAACCCTGCGAGGCCAGGCAGCTGAAGACCTACGACGAGCTGGTCGCCAACGCGCCTCGCTCGCTTTGGCTTTTTTTGTTGCGCAAATCAAGTGTTGTTGCGAGAGTTGGAAAAGGTTTCTTCATATCTCTGCACACTTCTTGGAGGGAGAAGGAGCAGGGGTTTTCGTTCCAGTTTTTTTTTTCTAATTCTCTGCAGAACCTAGATGGGCTACCCGGCGGCGGCAGCGGAGAGCGACAAGACGGTCCTTGCCGGCGTTCTTGACAGGACTTTGCTACACCTCCCCAGCTCCTTGTTGAGGGTTCCATGGGATGCCCAGAGGATCGGTGGCAAGCCGAAAGGTGACGGCTTGGACCAAGCCGGGCAGCTCAAAGCACTGAAGGCCGACTTATGGAAGCCTGGCCCTCACAGCTCTCAAAGATGCTTCTCAAAGAGAGGCACAACAGCAGGGTTCAGCAAGAGCTGAGGTTCGTGGATAAGATGAACTGCAACCCCATTCTGTTGCGGCTAGCCTGGCATGATGCCGGCACCTACGACAAGTCCAAGACAGACTTTGGCGACCGGGGAGGAGCTAACGGCTCCATCCGTTTCTCACCAGAGATTACCATGGGGGCCAACAACGGTCTGGACAAGGCTGTGAAGTACCTTGAGCCCTTCAAGGCCTGGTGCCTACTTATTGTAGTGGCTTTGACATGATTGGACCGAGCTGCGAGTTAAATCAAGGCCGACTACCCTTTGGTGTCCTACGCAGACCTGTACCAGATGGCTGCAGCTGTGTCCATCGAGCACGCTGGCGGCCCCCAAATAGACATGAAGTACGGCCGCAAGGACGATGCTTGCTATGCTGCATTGCAGGTGAGGCAGCCAAAGAGTGCGTTTTCATGCAAATCCTTTGCTCGCAAGGATGCCACGGGGCCCGAAGCATGCCCTGGTCGTCAGTCACGAGGTGAAACAACAGAAGCCTCAAACCTGGACACTTTCTGTAAACATCTTTTGGTGAAGGTACGGCGGACAATGCGGGACTTCCCGACGCCGAGCCTGGCCCTGCGGGCACTTTCGGCTGCGGTGCCTCGGATCCGGCCACCCACCTCCGCAACATCTTTTACAGGACAAGATGGGTTCTGTTTAGACACATCAGCCAAGAGAATTTCATGCATTGACGCACCTGTGCAGCAGCTGTGCAGGATGGGCTTCGACGACAAGGGCATCGTGGCTCTGTCAGGTGCCCACACAATTGGCCGGGCCTTTAGGGAGCGGAGTGGGACTGTGAAGGAGGGCTATGGAGAGTCCAACGGCTGCCCATATACGCGGGCCCTGCCTGCTTCCTGCCCCATCAGACATGATGGGAAGGGCGGAGTTGGCATGCCGGGTGGGAAGAGTTGGACAACGAAGTGGCTCAAATTTGACAATGAGTACTTCCAACCTTCTGTTTACGAAGAGAAGGACGCCAACTTGTTGTGGTTGTCGTCAGACCGATGCTTGCACCAAGACGACAGCTTCAAGAAGTACTTCATGCAGTACAGGGAGGACCAGGGAGCCTTTTTCAAGGACTTTGCGGAGGCTTACAAGCAATTATCTGAGCAAGGGGCAGAGTTTGAGCCAGCAGGTGGCATCACCATCTGAGAATCTGATACTATTCACTGGTGCGAAAAGAACCAGGAAGCAAAGGTCTACCCTCGAATTGGAGCACCAGTGCAAAGATGAGGGCAAAGGGCTGGGCCGTTTGGAAAATGCTTCCACGTTCGTTCAATTTTCGGCGCAATGCCATGTGTCACTTACACAGCGCCCGGTGGGAAGCCGTGTCAGCAAAGCTTGACAAAGGCATCCAAGTTGAATAAGAGGGAGCGCTACTGAGTTGGACGCAGAGCGTCTTGCAATCTGGCAAATGCTGTTGCAAGTACTGTGAGGAAGTTTGAATGCTTCCTCCTCCCGTGCGGACTTCGAAAAATGTCGTTACCTTGTCATGCGTTTCAAAAAGGAATGCAGCCGACGCCACATTTTGCATGCTGTTGCTGGGAGCTCTGCAGCTGGCTTCCGTCTTGTCTCGTGGAGCGGTATGCAAACTTGTATCACGTCTGCAACTGCAGATGTGGTTCAGAGGGCGCGAGAGGCGCGGAGCGGAGCTTTGCCTTGTCTCATAGGCCTGCAAGGTTTTCCAGGTTAGATATCTCTTTCATTTTCTGTTTCTGTTCGTGAAGACGTTCTGCAAAGAATCCTGTGGGATTCTGCAGCATGTTTTGTTCGCCAGTCTGGGGTGTCGTCGTCCTACGAGGGATGTGCTGCCCTGGTGCAGAACCACCTCCGCGAGGTTGGGCCTCATCGAGAGTGTAGTTACAAAATGAGCTATACTCTAAACACATTAAAGCGGGCTTATATGGGAATTATATAGGGGACTACTCCCCGGGTTCTGGAGGGTAGTTGCAAAATGTTGCAAATGGTTCAGCTCGAGGTCCACCAGCGAGCGCTGCGTTGCCTTGAGGCGTCGGGGCAGAAGAGTTGGGTGTCGGAGAATTTGAAATGGGGTGCTCGTCTTGAGAAGGACTGGAGCGGCCCCTACGCCGCGGAAGAGGGCGAGTACTGGTACAACCACCGGCTGAAGGTCTCACGCCTTAATGCTAGTGTGAGTGTAAGTCTGAGCGCCATCCCAGCAACCTGAGGTGAGCACCTGGGACTGTCCAGTGACGGAATGGGAACAGGCGACACCTTGTTTGTGCTTTTGCTTGGCATGGCATGTGCATGGATGCACGATGATGCACGTCGTCATGATGAAAATGTGGGGCTGCAGGAGCTGATGACTCGTCAGGCGGTGCTGTACTGGTCTTGTCCTGATTCAGGACGTGGGCTTGCGGCCACGCAGTTATCTGATTCATGATGTGTCATTCCCGAACTGAGGTGCTTGATGGGACCGGGGCGCCCTGAAGGGGGAGCACCGTCGGCCTGCTGAGTTTCTGAGCGAACAGAGAGAGCAGAGGGAGAGACGACGTCACGGCACCAAGTTGCCAAGGTCTGAGGCGGCATCGGGCTCCGACGGCGAAGAAGGCCAAAACGACGGCTCATGCGATCATTTTGGAACTTGCCGGCAAAGCTTCCAGGCTTCGGACCTGATCTCCTGAGAGCCCTACGCCTGCCTCTTAACCTGGTGCGGTTGGACCCTCAGCCCAGCATGATCCAGCATGGAAGGAAGAATCATGCAGATCAATGAGTTCGTGTCAAGAACAGCTGGGGTTGCTTTTGGACAGGCGCGAGAGCGTCAACACGCCTCCCTCCACTCCGTCCACTGCGCGGTTGCTGCCTTAGCAGTAGCCAGATCAGTTTGTGTGCAGCAACACAAAGTCTCGACCCAGGTCGTTCCACACTGCCAAGTTCTCGGCATCTGGGGAAATCAACCAGTGGTGCCAGCGGTTGTGCTAGTACCAGAAGACTTGATGACACTCACCAGGCTCGCTCCATGCACTCCAGCAGATCCCAACGCAGCCGCATGACGGCAGAAGACGTGACCGACAGGTGCACGATGTAGTTCGCTCTTTTGCTCGATTAGCCCCAACTTCCCTAGTCTGTTTGGAGCAAGCAGGCACCGTCTATATGGATATCTAGATGATTCTAGATGCTAGCACGGTCCAATCAGTGTAATTAACCCATGTGCTGCAAACCATTTGCTCGTCAACTCCTCTGGCTGTGCACTTCACCTGCCAATGCCAGCCACAGGCGCTTTGTGCCAGAAACATGAAGCACACCAAAATGTTTCAGCATCATATACAAGCCGCATCATTGATACAGAGCCTTCAGAAATTGAAGACGCCCCCAGCGGACCGCAAGCACCTATGAAAGCCTTTGGCAGCCTGCGCAAACTTCCAGAAGTTAAGCATGTGCAGCTTTGAAGTGGGAGAATCAACAAATTGGGGCCCGTGTCAATGTGGACAGATCGCGAAAACAGTGCGGAAACGAAGCCCATCGTGTTGCCGACTTCCCAGTCACCCCCATGATCTCCCTGCAACACGCATATTTCAAGAGCTCACAAGCAGGGGAGCCGGACTTTCGAGGGGTGTCTCAATCATCTTTTCCCCTTTGTCATGGCCAGCATCCACAGCCACGCTTCCCCCGAATATAGTCATGGTTTCAGAACAGAAAAGCGAAAACAGTAAGTCAGGATCCTGTATGGAATTATTCAACGAATTGTCGAAGATAACGAGTGTACCCGGATTGTTTGATGTCGTAGCCATGCAGATCTTATGAACGACGACCCAGCATGCCTCCAAACTCACCATCACCATGCTGCTGTATGCAACCCCTGTTTGCGCATCCCCATATCTACCTATGCTTCCGGAAATAGGCATGTACAATATGATATTCCACGCAATCGTTTTCTTGAGATTCTAGCGGAGGGTTCTACCAGCCAGGGGCTCTGCGAGGGGATCGCCGCCCAGTGGCTCACCGCGCGAAGCCCTGGCAGCTTGAGCTGGAGCCACGGTGGCTAAAGGGCTTCTAATTACTATGATGGTGATCATTCCTGGTGATTGATAGAATCTTCCAGTAATTTCACATTCTTATTGTTGCTATTTCAATAGTTTGTTAGAGATCCTAGGTCCATTGGGCTTGATGAGGATTCCTTGCAAGGCTTATGGGCATTCAAAAGGATTTGCTTCATCAGGAGTCCACAGTTTCTTGTTCCCACCCTGAAGCACATTTGGATACACGGAAAATCCTGAAAGTCATGAAACCTAAGAATTAAGATAAGTTGCTACAACATATCCTTCCTCAGGACTGTGGGAGATACCGAGAAGAAGGCTCTCTAGAAGTGCTCTCAATTCACCTGGAAACGAGGTTTCGCGTCTTTTTCCTCGGTTTGAAGCTTTCAGCCGTGGTCAACAAACGTATGATTGCTTGGCCGAATCGAGCTGACACATGGCAAAGACAATGAGAGACTCAATTTCTGAACCCTATCCTCTACTATTGAACGCAAGAAGAGAAGTAGATGCAAACCGGCAAGCCAAGCAGTGAAGCAAGGCAATACGTTATGAGACGCGATGGATACTCCCGTGTGGCGACCAATCAAGGCACGTCCAAGCAGAATGGGGCCGTACAAGATCTGAGAACTCACTTCCTACGCCACTCTTTTCTTTCCTGGGTGCTGCTGCCGCTGGCCGTGTACGGCTGGGAGTCGTTGGCTCCGCTTCACTGGAAGGCATCCTGTTCACAAGGCTACTCTTTGGCGAGTCTTTTCCCGCTTGGCTTTGTGGAGCTTCATTACTTGTATTCGGAATCCTGCGCGTGGTCGGCGATGAAGTCCCTGCTTTCTGAGCCGGAGCTTGTGGTCCTGAAGCATTTCGGGGTGCTACAGCACAGGAAGTGGCTGTTACTGCTAGGCGTTTGCGAAGGCTTTATCCTTTTCACGGATATGAACTTCCCTTTCGTCGCGCGGGCCTGCGATGATATCCTGACTGAAGACTGGAGTAAGGCATGGCAAGATGTTCCGGTGGTTGGTTACTTTGTAGCCAGTCTGGTAGGAAGGCTGCGTTTCTGGGGCTTCGCCCTGCTTGCTACATTAACCGTGATCCTAACAAATGGGGTCCTGGGCCTGCTGCTTTGTATCCCCTTTAGCCATGACGCCCAGCCCAGTGGCTCGGACTTCGTGGCCTGGGCACGGGCGGCGGAGACGGCCATGATGCCGAGCGTGGCATTGCTGGCGGAAGAGATGGCGAACCAGAAGCGCCACTTATTGGATTACAGTCAGGCAACTTCAGATCCTGGGACCTTTGGGAATAAGCTTGATGCAGATGCGGCGGTTATGTTTGAGGACTTCAACCAGAGACTGGCTGCTCACATACATTTCTCAGAGAGCGCCCATTTCATGCTCTTGATGCTTGGCAAGCTCTTGCTTGGCAGGTGTCTGCAGCTCTCGATCCAGAGCTCGTTTCTGGCCTTGGCCTTTCACCAAGAAGCCGCCGGGGCCAAGAACAAAGTGATCCTCGGCTTTTGCCTTAACACCACACTGCTGGTGCACCGCACGTTACACAGCATGAGGATGCTAGGCTGCGTGGGGCTACCTCTGCTGCTTTTGATTGTCGTTTGTGTCGCCTGGGCCGGCGCGAAAATCGCGCTGGCATTTGTGTGCAAAGATCACCTTTGGAACTTGACGACTGGGTGTGTCAAGCTTTCCCAGCAGTGACCGTGCAAAGTACGTGATCAACAAAAGGCACGCTCTGAGTCGACAGATGCGGTGTTGAGCTTCATTCCCTTCAGCACATGGGTGTGACGCGACGCACAGTCAGCCTTGAAGTGGCATGGCCAGACATGAAACATGCACATGCACCACGTGCATTTGGAATTGGTCATTTCAATGATAGCATTGATGGAAGGAATCACGTCAAATCCTCAAAAAAGCAATAAATTTCCAAGATTGCCGGGGCTTGACTGAGGTGATCACTGCAGATGTCTCTTCGCCGTGAGTGCGTTCCCCTATGTTCTCCGCTCAAAGTCGGACATCATTTCAAGCGGCCTAGTCACCGGTACAGTTGACCCGTCCAATTGAATTTCTGTTGCGAAACAAAGCAGTCCACTGAGCGCCAGAGTCAGAGTGTAAAGGAATGCCTTCTCTTCCAAGCAGCCCATACCGTGGCTGCTGGCGGCAACATTTGGTGTAAATGTGGCTGGTTTGAAAGACCTGGGAATTCCCAACCGTGTCACCCTGGCATAGGCAGCTTCGCCTGTGGTGCACAGGCGAGGCTTTTCCTTCTGAGACAGCTGTGGCTTCACCTCTGAGTGCTGCCAGAGGAAGGCATGGCCGTCTCCGTTAGAGTAGGCTGGCACAAGGACATGTCGCTTGACTTCCACTCCCACTCAGTCTCCACCCAGGATTTTCAATCTACTTGGGGCTAGCTTCAAGGTCAGGCGCGTTTCCGGCTAAGCAGGGCAAGTGCCAGATTTGCGATGGAACAAAAGAGCAACGTTCTGGATGTCATCTACTGTTGTTGCGACGATGAGGAAGCACTGCTGCTGGTGCCTGAAAAACATTCTGATGCTGGCTTTTGGCCCGGATGCTGCTTTGAAAGCTTTGTGTAGCGCTGGAAATGCGAGCCTATCAAGGCGTGACCTGACCAAAGCATGAAGCTGGAATGCTTGGAATGATTGTCCATGTTTCTTCAAGTCTTTCTAGCTTCTGCAAACCGCTCTGTTCGGCCATGTCCGTACTGACAGCAGAGCCAGAGCCAGTCCGCTCCCAGCGTCTGCGCCGCGCTCTGTTGATAGATTCGTCGTTCTGAAAGATTCGGATGATCAGCGCTGCACCGTGCTTAGGCCTGATGACATGCCCGTCCCGAAAGAGGAAGGGAACCGGATGGGAAGGATCTTGGCCTGAGTGCAACCGCTGCGAGGATGTTGACAGTGACTTTGACGACGATGTTGAGGGGCACCAGTTCTCTGCGGAGGACCGCGAGAGCTGATTATAGAGCAAAGCCATGAGAAGCTACAGACTCTGAAGCTACAGACTCTGAGCTTTGCGCACCGGCCGCGCTGAAGCGGCAAAGTGCATATCATCTTCTTGAGGAGACCTTGATTATTTTTGACTGGGATGACACAGTCATGCCTTCTTCGTGGGACCTAAGCTCAGTCAACGGCAGCTCACCATGTCATCGAGCAGCACAGAAGGCGGTATGACGGCAAAACGCATCGCTTGCTTGGCAGAAGCTACACACCTGTAGGGGCATTGGTGCATGTGTCTCTGCATCATTTGTGTTCTGCAGAGGTTATGGAGGAAGGTCTTACCCTGGAGGGCGAGGACTTCCCACAAGAGCAGAAGGACTGAAGCGAGGGCTGTGCTTGCCGTTTCTACCACAGAGTGTGGAAAAACAAACAGGAGAAGCTCTCTGAGTTGGCAAGGCTAGAATTTTCTGTGATCATGGCTTTCTCTCCTTCAATATTGAAGCCTGATCCGCCCTGTCAGGTTGTCAACACAGACGTTGAACCTAGCCATGAGGCTGGGAACTGTGGCGGCTACCTCAGATGCTCTTAAAGGGCCCGCCAGACTGCGCCAGACATGGGAGTTTTTCAAAAAGATGGGTCCCTTCTTGGGTTTGGGTCCATGCAACGAGGATTGTACCAAAACTTCTTGTTAGGGGGTGAAGCTCAGCCATTTTGAGCTAATGACTTTGACATGCCTTGGTAATCTCTTGAAGCAATTTAGTTCCCGGATGTCGTCGCTTGCGCGGGGAGAAATTGTGGTTCAATGCGGACCCCGAAACGTTGGACTATGTTCTTCATGGATCCAAGATGCTGACAGTGGCAAATGCATCCTTGTAACATAAATTCACGGGTCCTGCTTTCCGTTCCTGGCGTCGTCCTGATGCTTTGCTTCGACCAAGTTGCTCGTCACCAATGCGGAGCATGGCTGGGTGCGGCTCTCGATTTTGCAGATTGCACTGGTACTTGTTGCTTGGAGGCTCATGTAGGTTTTTCGCCAAGAAGGTATGGCCCCCATGGACCATAGGGATGTATAGGGAATAAAAGGAGATGAAAGGCTTCGCCTTCAGAAATGACATCCAGCCTACTGTGCAGTGTGAGAAGCATGAACGAAGGTTCAGCAAGATATCAAGTTCGCTTCGCAGTCGCTGCAGGTGGAGCTGAGTTGCCAGAGGTTCCTCCCAGACCTGCTGCCGGTCCTATCGTCTGCGTGCTACCTAAGCAGGGTGTAGAGAACGTCGGTAATGGCCGCTGGACCACTGGTGAGGTCAGGATACTCTCAGCGCGAACCCAGTATGAGAGCCCACGGGTACCAACACCATTTGAGGCCACCTGCTTGCTTTTGCGCTGCGGGTCTTTGTGCCACCACCACTATCGGCACCATCGGCCAGTGGAAGCTCCACGCCTTTCACAACGAGATCGGACGAGTCTTCCAGGGCTCCGGCACAGCGCGCACAAGGCCGGGATAGGAGGAAACAGAAGAAACTGGGTCCATATCAGACATTATCAGAAGCCATTGCGGGTGTGGGAGCAATTGCAGTTATGCATATGCAGCTAGTCAGACCATAGGCGAAGGAACATTCTGTCCTTCGGGGACAGTGGCCACGAGAGGGAGGCCGTGATCAAAGCCACGGCTGGGGGCCTGCAAGCAATCTTCTCCGAGACTTTCTCATAGGAACACAAGAAGAACGTTCCTAGTAACGGTCAATACTTCGTATGAATAAGATGCAGGCCATGCTAGCAACATGAACAATGATTCGAGAGGAATAGTAGTGGCTATGTAGTGGACATGAGAAGAGCAATAGTAATGATGATGGCTGCTGTCGGGGCCGCTGGTTCAGGTCAACATGCCCGATACCAGGACCAAGTCACTGAAGCCAGGGTCTCTGCGGAGGTTTGTTGAGAACTGTGATGGGATGATGAGGTGAGGAAGAGGAAGGGAGATTCCTGAGGTTCATCGACAGACCAGGCATCGAGGAGCTTCGGAAGCAGCACTCTGTAATTGTTGGTGTCCCGGACAAAGCCCGTCAGGGAACGCCCTGCAAACGTTGAAACGTTGACAAGGTCAAGTGCCTCCGGCAGATTGTCCACCATGATGGAAACCTGGACCTTTGCTTGCGGTGCCATGCTCAGTGTCTGCATTCTGCAACAGGCAGAGGTCACGGTTTGAGGTGTCAAACCTCTTGCGTGCCAGGGTGGCCTGATGCTGCAGAACATCCAGAGGCTGTGCCTTATTCTGCTGAGCAAGCTGAGAAGCATAATCATTTGTTGTGACATTTTCTTCATCTGAGTCTCCGACCTTGCTTGAGAACATATGCTCTGCAAGTATGGACTGTCTGCAGCTGAGCCGCGTGCCTATGTGTCACCTGGAAGTCGATGCACCGCAGTGTGCAGCGCACGCCAGAAGCAAAGACTGCTGTCTTTGACTCCGGCTTCTCTGAGGCTGTCATGGCATTTTCCCAGAGAAGACGAGACAACTGCCACTCTGTAGCTTATAAAGGGTCCACAGAACCTCACAGTACCATCTGTACCCCCCATGTAAAGAGTCTCTGACGGTTTGCTCGTAGCTCGCGTGGGATGAGATCCCCCAGCGGGAAGAGCCGACATTGCACGGCGAGGCTGCCCCTGTTGCTCGTCCGTCCACGTGACGGGATTTACTTTTGAGTCAGCCGCTTGTATGTATGTTGCGCATATTATAGATATAGCGAATATAACCCGTACTATTATCATTGTTTTTCCTAATTACGAATTTTACTAATAGTACTATTATTACAAATATTATTAATGTCCTGCTGGAGACGAGTGACTGCGGCGGCCATCTATCTTCCAACCTGCTGCGTTTCTCGCACTGTGTATTGCCCCAGAAATTTCACTGGAGCTGCCGGCAGATTCCGAAACAGTCGGCATGCCCGAGGATTTGAAACCATCACTGGCTCTTTTTGTAGTTTGCCCTTGGCACGGATTTTGAAAGTCTGTGTAGGGTAGTTTCGTAGTGCATGTCAGCCCTGGCGTGTAGGATCCTGCTTGACCTGCTTGTGATAATTGCTGGAGAAGGATTTCCAGAGTGCGTTGCTGCCGCGCTGCTGTTGCTGATTCGCCGCGGCTGCTTTGACTGGCGGCAAATGCCGGACCATCTCAGTCACGTCAGCGATTGACTAGAGACAGTAGACGCGACCGCTGGATGGGTCATGCCGTCGGGGGCAGAAAGTGAGTGGGATGTCTTCTGCATGCCCGTGCGCCGTTCCTTCAGCATTTGCCCTGGAGAGCTCCTTAAGCTTGTCAAACAGTCAAACCCTGGAGCAGTGCTCGCGTTCCCCAGCCATGGATCCTTTGGGCTCACGGCCGGGCACCTTGGAAGTGGCGCTGCAACGAATGACCGAAGCTCTGAAGCTGGCCAAGCACAGGGAAGAGCAGTTTGCAGCCACACGACAAGCTCGCAGTGCGGCAGAGATGGAGCTCCGCAAAGAGTGCGACAGTGCCAGGCGGTGTTCTCTTCATGTGTGCGCATGCCCTCTGCTCATGCCATGATGCTGAGAGTTGCGCACCATGTCAGGGAGCAGGCTGCAAAGCTGTGGGCAGAGTCGCAGAGACTTCAGAAGATGCTCCAGGCCATTTCATCGACTCTTGTCAGCGTGTTCACTGTTTAGTCCTTCAGTCCAACGGCTGGAAGGAAAGCCACAGCCACCTGGTCCAGCTTGATGCTAGCCGTTCAGCGCGAACGGGCGTTTGATGCCAAGAAATTTTATCATGCCGCACAGCATGCAAGCGGCTCACAGCAAGCCCTTACAAGATGTGAAAGGCTCTGCAACAAGCCGTTTTGTACATAGCACTGCAGGCTGCGATGCCAAAGGAGTTTGCAAAAACAAATACATAGAATGTCAAGGGAGCTGCAGCCCTAATTGCAAGCATGAGCACTAATGAGCAGAGCCTAACAGAGCAGTTGGAAGCGTTGTTGAGTCATTCAGTCCGGTCTGTCCTGTACCACTGCATGGCTCAAGTTAGTTCGCGGCACGGAGTGAAACGCAAAGAACATTCACAACTTGACAACAAGAAGGCATCAGAAGACACCGTGCAACAATTCAGCAATACCGTGCTTGAAAGTAGTTCGAGGAACGTTGTGGACTTGTGCCTGCCATGATGCAGCGGTACGCATCCACCCAGCTGTCATCGCTAAACGCGGTGAAGCATGAACCTGTTCACCGATGTCCCGCTGCTGCATGGCTCAGAAGACAGTATGTCTACACAAACGAGACATTTCGCACAAAAGTAGTGTTTGAGAGAACATTATCCCACAAGTCGACGCTACAAGTCGAAATGCAGACTGCCATGGAGAGACCTGCTGGGGAAGGCGCACTGCCCCTGGCAGTGCAGAAGCTGGATCACTCTGAAGGCGACTCCAGCGCCGAAGGCACAAAAGGCACCGCCTCGCGGCCTAGCGGTGGGGATGCTACACCTGGGTTGTCCGAGAAGTCTCGGAAGCCTGGCACTCAGTGATCTGTAGTATCCAGAGTGGGAGGTTTTTGGGGAAGCTGCAGGATGTGGTGTGCCTATGAGGTTTCCAGCTGAGTCTTGGGTGCCACGAGAGCAGCTGCAGGAGGGCTTGGACGAGTCTTTAAGACAAGATAGCAGTCTGCATCACAGGATCTAAGCGATGAGGAGGGTGAGGAGGAGCTGGGGTCAGGCTTGCTTTCCCCTTCCACTGTCATGGTGGTAGGTCCAACGAGAGTTCCAGGGAATTGTTGCAGAGTACTAGGATCCTGACCTTTAAGAATCGGGGGTATCTGGGGTTTAGACCGCTTGCTACCTGAGCTTGAGCCCATCTATTCAGACTACGCGAGGCCTCGGGCGCTCCAAGCCACGAAAGCGCGGCCTCGATCCAAGTCAGGTGAAGACACATGCCATTCAGTATACACCTTTGCTTGATTTTTTGCGCGTTGCTGCGGCCCAAGCAAATGAGCGGTTGAGCCACGCTTGAACTTGATCTTGTGGAATTTGCAGATGACTGGCAAGACGGATGCTTTCGAGAAGGCTATTCAGCTAGGCCTTAAAGGCGATGCAGACGGACTATCATCTCTTCTGTCCGAGGACTGTTCTGAGCAAGAGCCGCCTGAAAATGTTTCCATGCAACGCTAGTCCATGGCTAGCAGCTAGTGTCGCTGCAGGAACGGATCATGTCAAGACTTCCTTCCTATCACGTTTTGAACGCAGCGATTTTGCTTGCAGGACAAGGAGATTTTGGACCAGAGCAACGAGGATGGAAAGAGTCTACTGTACATGTTGTGTGCTGCATGCACAGATGATGGTGCTATCCCAAGTCGACACGGCACCACGGAGCAACTGAAGGCTGTCACGGCCGTGCTCAAAGCCGGCGCGGATCCTGCGAAAGCATCGGCAACAGGCATGACACCACTCCATGTAGCTGTGATGGGAGACCACGTGAGCTTGGTCCGATCACTGCTGGATGCCCGTGCCGACTGCGCAACAGGGCAGCTGCTTGATGGTCGGGCAGACAACTCGGGCAGCCCTTTGGCACTGGCGCTCTTCTATGCAAAGGCCAAGATTTGCCCAGAAGTGGTTGCGTTGCTGGCAGAGCGCGCTGGCGCACCTGCCAACCTCAGGACTGCCGCAGCCTTGGGTCAGCCCTTGGATGATTTCTTTCAGGATGAGAAGAGGCTTTCCAGGAATGCCCTCCGACACTTGGGCTTTTATCGGCCCATTCCAGCTTTTCCGGAGTGGCCAGCTCGTTTGGAGTGGGTGGCAAGACAGCAAGGCCCGGAACCTGGGGAGGTCACGGAGGATGTTGAGCAGGCGATACTCGACGAAGCCTTGTCCTGGGCTGCTAGGAACAACCAGGTGGAATCCATGGTCCACCTTTGCAATTCCGGGGCGAACGTGAATAGCAACGCCTTCCGCGGCACACCCTTACTGTGGGCAATCTACAGTGACAGTCCTGAGGCTGCCCAATGGCTTTTAGACCATGGAGCTGATCCCGACTTGAGGCATGATTTCGGTGGTGCAGAGCATGGACACGGAGCTGTGGCTATGCACCTAGCTGCGCAGTACAGTAGCCTGAAGTGCCTACGTCTCTTGCTTGACAGAGGGGCAGACGCCACAATCGCGGATGCTGCGCATGGCGGCACACCGTTAAACTGGGCACAGTTTGCGAATGCAGCTGACAGTCTTGAAGTTTTAGCAAAGTACGGCCACAGGCCTAAAGAGACTGCCGAAGTTGCTTCCAAGTAAAGGACGGAAGCCAGCAGCATGCAACACGCAGCTGGCAGACCCTTTCAGAGTTGTAAGCGTGGATGATCTGCCTTCGGGCCATGTTCTGTGAGCCTATTCCTGTGTCAGTCGAGTTCGGGATACGCCTCGAACATCCTTCGACTGTTAGTGCAAGCGGTTACATCCAGGCATCCTGCCTGGTAAGACTTGCTACTTGCTGGCAACATGTATAGGCGCAGCGTGAGTTGATCCAAACAAGCGCAGACACGTTCAGCGAGACCTGAGATTCCCAGCTCTTGACTTGTCAGGGCTCCAAGCGCTCTTGAACCACAAGCATGCCAGAGTGGCCCTCACTCTGGGGTGAGCTCATGTGTCTTCATAGCTGACACAAGGTGCTGACGAGCTACTTGGCCAAAGGCAAGTGCCGGCAATCTCAGCATCAAATCCTGGCAACTGCTTTAGCTTTGTGGCAGCCCTCTTAGTAGCCAATCGTTAATGTCAGTATAATGCCTGAGGTGCGAAGCAGGTTTCCACAGCATGCAAGATATGCGAGGCGACTCGTGCAGCTGTGTACAGTTAAGTGTGAGATGCGTGCACAAAGTTGTGTGCCTGTCGGGATCAAGCTGACAATTTGAGTTGGCACACAGTCTGGCAGCAATCTTTCATCGCGATGCGCTTGGGTAACGTAATCGCAGCTCTTTGCCTCACGGCTGCAGTGGGCAAGAAGCCCCACATCTTGTTCCTCCTGGCGGATGATTTGGGCTGGGCCAACATCGGCTTCCATCGTCAGAGTGCCAACACTGATGACGAGAAGCAGGGCCAGTTGGAGGTCCAGACACCAACCATCGACCAACTGGTGAAGGATGGCATCAACTTGGACCGCCACTACTCGTACCGCATCTGTGGGCCTGCTCGAGCTTCCCTGCTTTCAGGTCGCTTGGCACCTCACGTTCTCGTGAAGAATGTTGCAGTGACTGCCCGCAACGAGGAGGATCCTGCGAGTGGTTACGCGGGCATCCCCCGCAACATGACAGGCATGGGCGCCAAGGTGCGTGCCGGGGGGTATCGTACTCACTACACATTGAAAATCATGATTACCGGGCCATTTGAGGAAGCGTTCTTGTACCGTGCCTGGTTGCATCCTCATACATGCTGATGATGTGTGTACGATAGGGCACATGCTTCCCCAAGCGCCGCAACCAAGTTGCAAGCTAAATCTTGAATCATAATCACATTGATGCTGGTGCCCCCCCTAGAGATGGTTTAAAGCCGCTCAACAGGAAAGTGGGATGCTGGCATGGCGACACCACAGCATACGCCTTATGGCCGCGGCTTCAACACAAGCTTCCTCTACTACCAGCACGCCAACGACTACTGGAACAAGAAGACAGGGATCCAGGCAACTGGTGAGATTACCACCTGCTTGAATGCATTCTATGACATCATGGTGGAGTACCGTGGGCCCTACACGGCAGCGGAGCTCACCGATTCGTGCAAGCACAGCGAGGAGCGTGCGCCTGCCTGCTACGAGGAGAAGATGTTTGAGGATCATTCCTTGCAGATTATCAAAAACCACGATGCATCCGATGAAGAGCATCCGCTCTTCTTGTTCCATGCCTTCCACCTGCTGCATACTCCCTTGCAAGTGCCGCAGTATTACTTTGACCAGATTGAAGAGAGCGTTGTTTCCCAGGGAGGCCGGCCCTTCGATTCAGAGAACCGTCGGCTGCTGATGGCCATGACGAAGTATATGGACGACACCATCAAGAATCTGACCACGGCTCTTAAGGACAAGGGAATGTGGGAGAACACGTTGGTGGTCTTTACCACGGACAACGGCGGCCCCATCTACGAGCCCGGATCGTCCAACAACTATCCGCTCCGTGGAGGGAAATACTCCGACTTCGAGGGCGGCGTGCGCACCGCAAGTTTCATCTCCGGAGGCTACATCCCCAAGGACAGGCGCGGCAAGGTGCACAAGGGCGTGGTCTCCCTGGCAGACTGGTACACCATGTTCTCTGAGTTGGCAGGGGTAGACCCCGAGGATGAGGAGGCTTCCAAGGCCAACGTTTGGCTCAAGGCCCAAGGCCTCACTGAGCTGAGCAAGGTGGACGGCAAGAAGGGTCAGCTGGAAGCCATCTTGAAGGGTGAGCCTGGGCCATGGGCCAACGAATCCCTCTTCATCTCCGGCAATGCCATCTTGGAATACCCCTACAAGTTGATCACCGGGAAACAGCCTTATATGGCGCACACTGGCCCCTTGTATCCCAACTGCAGCACCATCTCCTCCATGACAGGTGGCAAGGGCCCCGACTTCATTGACTTTGGAGTCCTGGAGAAGAAGCCAGACCTCGGAGACAAATCCTACTGGCGAGGTGATTGTGCTCATGGGTGCCTCCTCAATGTGGAAGAGGATCCTTCTGAAAGCATGGACCTCTCTCAGGACCCAGCCCATCAGGAGAGAATGAGGCGCATGATCAATGCCTTGGCGCAGCAGAACCAAACCCTCTTTGTCCCGGAGCGTGGTGAGACTCACTTGAAAGCCTGCTACTCCATGATGCTGAACGGTGGTGGGCACTTTGGACCCTTTGTGGACATCGAGGGCTACTACACAACTCCTCCCAGGGAGATGCAGGACCTGAACCGTCATGAGAAGGCCCAGATGATGATGATGGCGGCTATTGAGAAGGATCCCTAGAAATCTTTTGTCCAGAGGATGGCGGCGAGGCGTATCCTGAAGAAGTTGGAGGAGACAAGTGACAAATGCTGCACCAACACAGCCTGCACCGGGAACAGCACGGACCCAGGCATGCCGGACGTTTTCACCTTTGTCCAGAGTGTCAATGCCACCATGGTCGAAGCAGTGGGCGAACTTGGAGGAGACGGATACGTCTGAACAGTCCAGCTCGGCCCTGTATCTAAATCTTTTGTTGGTGGCCGTACCTGGCCAAATCTGTTGCTCGTATGCGACGCATTTACAGCGCAGTTACAGCGCAGACATGGTTTTGTTCCTGGGCAGAATAGCCCTAAATCCTCAGAAGAAGGGTTCTTACGTTTAATGAGCGTTCTCGCATAGGGACCGCAGGGAAACGCCTTCGAGTTTGACGTAGGTCCGATTCCACACTTCCGATGGCGCTCTGATGCGCTCTGACTGTCTGAGCCTCCATTCAGGGCAGCAAAAGCCGCGCGTTGCTGGAGATGTGCCATGCCTGAAAGAGCGGAGGGACTCAGAGCAGCCCGACTGTTCTCCTGCACAGGCCTGGAGAAGGTGGGTGATATGGATGCTGTGGACCTTCCCGTGGGACTCTTAGTGCATGGTCCAGGATGTTTGAATCAGGAAATGTCAAGCGAGCATGACCCGTTTCAGCTCAACTCTGAGGCAAAGCGCCGCAGGAAGCTTCCCCCGGGTGCAGCTTATGCCATGTTTAGAGCAAGTTGACAGGAGTCATCATGAAACCTAGCACGGCTGCAAGAGGTCCAAGGTCCGAACATGCTGCTGGCCTCAGGCACGTGTGATCTTCAGTGATGACGTGGACGAGATAGATCCAGACTTTGGCATCGCCGGAGATTGATATTCGGCACCACCACTGGTCTTTCACAAGTTCGAGGTGGAGATGCGGAAGCTCGAAGAGGATCCCTGCCTCACATGCCTGGAGATGTGGCAGCTCGCGGTCTTGAAGATCAGGTGCGGGAGGTCCTCGTGCAGCTCGCATGTGCTTCAGATGAGTGTGTCGGTGTATTGATGCGCAATGTCTTCCGACAGCCTCTTGCCTTCTGTACAAGGCTGCTTCGACGAATCATTTGAAGAAAAGCGTGCTTGCAAACTTGTCTGATGTCCAAACTTGTCTGATGTCCACCAGCGTGCTGAAGCGGAGTAGCGTACACCCGACGCACATTCAAAGGACGTTGTGCGCCTTGCAGGCCTGATGGGATCCCAGAAGAGGCACGTGCCTCCTTTTTCCATCGGTTTACTTTCACCATCTTTCGCTTACTTTTTGCCGTCGGTTGCCCACGTGTCCTTTTGCATAGCAGGAGTGGCGAAGCAATCGCCTAAGTTGTTCAGCAACGGCAGTGTTCATTCCGTGTTTTGGAAAGAAGTTTGCCGAGGTTCCCAGCAGGGCTTTGCACCACAGGTAGGCGGCCAAGCTCCTGAGAAAGGGCTCCCGACAAAGACTATACAGCTCATTATGTTGTTTTTGACTTCAGGCTGTGCCAACCCGTCCCCCTTCAGCGCCACCGCCGCAGCCACCCTCATCGGCACAGGCAAGATCTTGCCTTTCTTCGCCCACTGCTGGCCTTTGTGCCTTGGTGGCAGGCTTCCGTGGGCATTGCGAAAGCGTTGGGAGCTCATTGCTTCCAATGGCCTCCTGTTGTCTCTCTGTCACGATGATGCCCTGTTCTGAGGACACTGCCTGCAGGCACAGGGGGCAGATATCTTTTGGTTGAAGTCTTCACGTTCTGAGCATGCTTCAGGGCCGACAGCTGGCGCTGTGCGCCTTCTGCAGCCACCCACCGGGTGTGCACCTCAGGCTGCTGGATTGCGAGGAGTCCAATCCCCTGACACCTGAAGGCCGCCGTCACAGGCACCTGCACAAGCGCACGTGGAGGCCATGGTGACTTTGCAGTCTGTCAGGTGATGTTGGGTGCATCTGGGATGCTGTGCCATGTGATGCCAGGGCAACCCCATCCAGCCTCCAGAACCTTTCCAGGCCGAGCTTTTGTTATTGCAGAGACATCTGCAGAGATGTGCAGAGAATCAGAGCGAAGGTAGTTCCCGCCAACATGCCCGAAGGCCTCACACCAGAGGTTGGCACAGCTAAGTGCAGCTAAGTGGGCTGTTGCAGTGTTGGATCAACCTGCGGCCTATCCAGGAGCAACGCAAACATGAGGCTCTTTACTGCACCACACTGAAGGCACTTGCACCTTGGTCAATCGGTCAGGGCTTCATGAATTCCAGCCTAGAGCGCTTGCTGTTCAGGCTTCCAACGCTCTCCGCGATAAGTTCGGCATGGTTGGGATCCTTGAGGCTGTCTAAGAGCAAGGCTTAGATTCGGTGATCGATAATTCCGAAAAAATGTTGGGCAGGTGGTCCGCATGTCAGATCCACATTTGAATACGCTTGCGCTTGGAATGGATCTGACGGGCAGGACACCTCAGCAGAAGTGTTCTTGTAAGCCAAGCCACTAGCCTCTGCAACATCTGTCTGCACGCAGAAACGACAGCCCTCCGCGACGGGAGCCGGAGTATTATCTGCCGCAGAGTTGCTCAGCTGCAGTCTTCACAAGATGAAAAGAGCGAGGAAAAGTAAAAGCTGTGCTTATAGGATTTGCATCTTAGGGAGTTCAGGTGTTGTCAATTCAGTACTGTGAGCCCGGTTTGAGCACTCTTTCCAGTGGGAGCCCAGGTTACTTCATGAACCCGCCCACGCCGAAGATGGAAGACCCGGCCTGGTAAAAGCTGTATATTGGGGTTCTATATGGATAATGGAAAAGAAAATTGAAACTACTATAGTATATTACGGAAATCTGATGACCTTGATTTTGGACTCCACGTGCCAGGACCACCTCACAAAGTACTCCAGTGAGACCCTCTTCTACATGTTCTACACCCAACCAAGGGACATGTACCAGGTCAGGACCCAAGATTCCCCACTGCCTGCAACACCGTGCGTACGCAAAGTTCAGCGGCACCTGTGCATGCCAAGACGCTGGCGGCAATGCAGCTGTGCGCCGGGGTGTGTACGGTGAACATCAAGTTGGATGGTTCGGCATTGAATACATATAGGGCCAGTGGTTAAACTGGCATGTAGGACACTTGGTTGAACGAGATGCCAACCTTGGCTTGAGTCAGGCTTAAACACTATGAGGCTCGGCGAGGATCTCAAAAATCCCTTTTGTGGGGCTAGAATAGCGCTAGCTTGGCGCTAGCATCTATGGGTGGTAGACTGTTGACAGCCGACCAACCAGGAACAGGTAGTCATTTTTTTTTCGTGAGCCCTTGTTGAATATTCCAACATAGAATCATAATTGTAAGATTCATGGCTCCTTCTGGGTAGCCTGTTTGGTTGCATACCCTCCCTAATTTCCTCGTTTTTTTTCTATTTCTTTTCGTTCCAAACTAAGTGCTTCAAATGAGTGATTCAGCACCAAAGACGTTTCAAACCCACGCGAAGGAAATTTTGCAGGTTCGCGCAGTACAGATAGCTCATTCGAGTTTTTGGCAATCGGCGAGTTTTACTAATTGCTGGTTAGGCAGCTTCAGACCTGGTTGATCATCCAGTGACAGCAGTGCGTGTGAAAAAATGTGCAGACTACTATAGTATAAAGGAAACTACTATAGTATACTGGGGTTATATCTTGGGATAATGGAGAATTAAATGGAAACTACCATAATGGGGTTATGTAGGGATTATAGGGTATATTTTTGGGGGTTCTAATGGGATAATAGAAAATAACATGGAAACTACCATAATGGGGTTATATAGGGACTATAGAGTATATTTTCCGGGGGTTATATCTTGGGATAATGGAAAATAAAATGGAAATTACCATAATGGGGTTATATAGGGATTATAGGGTATATTTTTGGGGGTTCTAATGGGATAATGGAAAATAAAATGGAAACTACCATAATGGGGTTATATAGGGATTATAGGGTATATTTTTG